TGAGTTTCTAGTACAACTTTAGTACGCGGAGCAATCTGGGGAGCTGGAAGCTGAGAACTGGCGACTTTCTAGTACAACTTTAGTACGCGGAGTAGCTGGGGAGCTGGAAGATGAGAACTGGCGACTTGGTAGTACAACTTTAGTACGCGGAGTAGCTGGGGAGTGGGAAGATGAGAACTGGCGACTTGGTAGTACAACTTGAGTACGCGGAGTATCTCGGGAGCTGGAAGATGAGCCCTGGCGACTTTGTAGTACAACTGTAGTACGCGTAGTATAGCTGGGGAGCTGGAAGCTGAGAACTGGCGACTTGGTAGTACAACTTTAGTACGCGGAGTATCTGGGGAGTGGGAAGATGAGAACTGGTGACTTGGTAGTACAATGACTTGGTAGTAGTACGCGGAGTATCCGGGGAGCTGGAAGATGAGAACTGGCGACTTGGTAGTACAACTTGAGTACGCGGAGTATCTGGGGAGCTGGAAGATGAGAACTGGCGACTTGGTAGTAGAACTTTAGTACACGGAGCAATCTGTGGAGCTGGAAGATGAGAACTGGCGACTTTGTAGTACAACTTTACTACGCGGAGGTGACTTTCGAGAGGTGAAGAACTTGCAGAAAACAGGTGTTCCTGCGCTTCAGAAAGACATACAGAGAGAGACACATACACACACAGACATAGATACACACACACAGAGACCCACACTGCCTCAACACACTCGACTTAACACTGCACACTGAACACTTATAACACACTTAACAGATAACTCGCACTCTGACTTCCTACGTGATGAAAAATGCTTTCGGGCCACTCGTCGTCTAGTTTGTTTTTGATAAGGGCATCAATTTCTTTTTGCTTATTCTATTTCTTTTTGCTTATTTTATTTAACCGGTGCTGGCGTGTTCCGCCGGCTTTCCAGGTGGCCATGTACTTTGTGCCTTTGGGTTGCATGCAACGTGGTTGGTCATGTATTGTAGTGTGACTCTTCACGGTTTCATGGCCTGGGCTCACAGGAAAGTTGGCAAGGCCATGAGTCGAGCTAAAGGCAGATGAAACACACTGTTGCCAGTAATGTGTCACAGTGTGGTGCTGCCTTGTCTGATTTCTAGGGCTCGCAGGAAATGTAGCAAGGCCAAAATGGTTAAGTACCCCCACATTGCCATCGGTTTTTTAAAGCAGTTGCTGCTGAAGCCTCTACAGAAGGACACGCGTGGGCCAAAAAGGACAAATTGCTCGGAGCGCTGAAACTTGAGTTTCTCAGGGTTGAGTCAGTTGAGGCATGAAGCTTAAGTTTGTCCAATGATTGTTGCAAGTTCTAGTTCTAGGCGCGGATCTTTGGCCTCCTCCCCCCTCGGTTGGCAGGTTTCGTGACAGTCTTCGGAGAGAGATACAGATCAGACAATATAACATAGGAGAAGGGATACAATGTATAATATAATATTACATAGTAGAGAGGAGAAGGGGGGGGAAGGGGCGGGGGTAGCAAAAATCCGCGCGTAGGGGAAAGACTTACAACACAACAGCAACAGCAACAGGAACATCCACAGAACACGCCGGCTACAGCCGGCGGATTTTTTGGGATAGTTCACTCGCTCGAACGGGTGCAATTCGAACTCAAAAAGCTAGCTTCAATCTTGCGCATGAGGTACAATGGGAAAGGGCCAGCCACAACAACCGGCAGCGCCGAGCCCGCTGGCAACAACTCAAAGAGGGAAAGTCACAACAGGACATTTCCATTGCGCCTCTCTTTTCACAATGAAAAGCCAAATGCTTTGCACACATGGCAGGACAAGCGGGCATTTGCGAGGCTCAAGGAGCGAAACCGACTGCGACAGCAGCGGTTTCGCTCCAGACAAAACAACGAGGCCGAGAGGCAAAGTAGCCCAGGAGAGCTATTACCACAGCAAGGTAGAATAAAAATCATTTGCGTCGCTGCAGGAGTTCGGCATCGTGGTGGACCTCGCCGGTAAAAACAAGCGGAAGCTCACAGTACTTGTTGGAATCTCAGAAACCTTTCCCCTGTGCCTTCCACACATATGAGCATGCATTTGAGGCGAAGGACAAAATCCTACGAGAGATTGTCCGCAAGGCGATGTGAGTCAGAAGATTTTGGTCGCAAGGAATCCAATCATACATTGGTTGCATAATTGTGGGGTTTGATAGGTGGAAGACGAAGAGGCTTCTCATTAGGCCATATTTTCAACCCTCTACGGTCATGGAATGTAGAGCCTATGCTCCTTTCATGCACGCCAGGGCTCCCTCTGTGTTCGGCAAGCAGCCTCCGGCCACCGAGCACGAGGATTCACCGAATGATTTCCCACTTTAATTGCATGAATCCAAAAGAACATGCACTTTGTCTATCTCGCGCGGCAGAGCTGTCCTCAGAGCTGAAGCCAGCACAAAAACGACCGAAGGCACGTGACACTCCGGCGCAAAAAATCCTTGCAGCGACGACGTGTGATGTATATTTGTGAGGCGCTGAACTTGGAGAACTACCTCCAGGGACTTGACCCCAAGGGCGATTCTCTGTTTGATTTCCGCAGGTTGGAAGCGGCTCTTCTGGCAGGATGTTGCAGCGGCAAAGCACAGGGCAAGACTGGCCGCCGAAGAAACGGAGATTCCCAAATACAAAGCCAGCACTTGGAAAATCCTGAGGTTTAGAGTTGAACATCGATGAAAGTATGTAAGAGATGCTATCATGTCCATAGAGATCCTATTTGGGGTGAGAGGAATGTCGATGGTCTTCGTCCAACAGAAAAAAGAAAGATTGGAAAACAGGCCTCCAGTTGTTGGCCTCCGGGACTGTACCCCCCAAGAACTGGCAAACCAACGTCAAATGACAACCTGCGACCCCTTTTTGGGGCAAAAAGCATCAAAAGAACGATCATCATCATGTTGGGTTCATAGGGCCTGGAGTTTTGGTTGGATGGAAAGGACCGTCCCGTTCAGCCGAACCACCCGTCGGAGCAAGGCTTTGATCACAGCTTGGAGCACGTCACCTTCCCCAGCGGCTCCCCGTCGGGAAGTGAGGGGCGGAAAGCGGGGACTGTCCAAGTTGACTGGATGGGGGGGAGTGGTTCATCTTGAGTATCTTGAACCTGGTAAATTGTACGTGTGGTAGATGATGGTATGTCTGAACCTGTCTAGAGGAACTCCAGCTATAGGTAGATGCTGTTGCAGATAGTTCGATGATCTACGATGTGTCTCGTTGTTGGTCGTTCTTGGCCTAAACCCAAATGTTTTAAACCCAGATGTTTTCTTTTAAGTGCTGAGAATGTCGGAACTATTGGGTTCCAAGATCAGCTCGCAGTGCTGAACTGGTTGTATGTCCACTGTGGTGCTGATGTTGTTTCTATCACAATCACGACAGGATCTTCACATATGGCTGTGGCTCCAAACAGACAGATCCCGGCTTCTTTGCAAAATGACCAGGTTTCGGGCGCCAAGGCGCGGTGGGTCGTTGCTCTCAACGTCTCTCCACCCGCCGAAAGGCGACGTCGACGGGACGGGGCGCTGTTTTGGGACTGGTGGGGCACCCTCTGAGGACTGCAGACCTTGGTCTTTGGAGACAGTTTCGATCAAAGCCTAGACCAGGTGATCTTCCCCCCTGGAGCCTCGATGAGACTGATCGGGCTGGGAAGAGCGCGGAGAGGGTGAGATGAAAGAGGTATAGAAATGGGACAGCGGGAAGAAGGTAGAAAAGGGATATGGAAATGGAGCCTTGATATGTCTTTGTCTAGCGGAGATGGATTTTGTTTTCTGGCAGAGAGGAGGAGGAAGGAGGTGAAAGGGAAGGTGGGCAATTTGGGAGAGGCACCAGCGGTGAAGAGCCGGATGGATGGCGAAGTCGGTGCTACTACATGGGAGAAGTAGATATGTGTCGCATCAGGACATGAACGAAGTGAACTCTATGATTTGTGAAGCAGAACAAGAGGACGAACATAGCTTAACCCTGTACACATGCATGGTTTGAAAGAGTGTTCATCTTAAAAACTCCTTACTTTGAGTAAATTCCGCGCCATTTGGATTGCTTGCTGAAGAAAAAGAATTGTTTTTTTACTCTCCACCCACCCTCCATCGAACAAGAACGGCAGTGAAACTTGGACCCTTCGAAGACCACGTTCCTGTACACACGAACCAGACGGTTCTTCATATACCCATTGTGTCTTGGGTCTCGGGATCTCGGGTTCACATCAGTTCACGCGTCAGTTCACGACGTATCATGAGACCTCCGGATCATCTTGTTCATGCTCCATCCTCGCGCGTGTTCACGCGTCAGACCACGGTGTTCCACCACACAAAACGGCTCGCAAGCCCAAGCAGATGACCACGGTGTTTTTCAGTCGGAGGCTCGCAAGCCTGCCAAGCTCATCCAAGGATTGGAGAGTGTACAGTTTGGTCATTCTTTTCACCAATCCTTGGAGAACGTCAAGCTCCCAGGACCGGCTTCGTGGGTTCCATCCGCTAATTTCCGCGTCACTGGACGTGGGTGTGGGTGGTTGAGTTCTTTTGGGTGAGTTGTCGTGGTAGATTTGTTCTTGGCCAAGTGGTTTGGATCAGTTCTACAAAACAAATGGACCAAACAAATGGATTTGGATCCATCAGTTCTGCAAACTGAATTGGAATTTCGTTTAGATCCGTTGTTTCCAACACGTGACCTGCGGTCGTTCGGAGTCCCAGCGCTTTTTGGCTGTGGAGCCTTGCTTTGCTTTCGGAGCCCCCCCCTGGTCTTTTGCGTAGCCAAGCCAGAACGTGCGCACGCACATATACGCCCGCGCGCGCGCAAACCGCGGACCTACCTCGCGCGCGGACCTTCAGGAGGCCTGAAGAAGCTCATTTGCACCTCGGAGTGTGGATCATCTGTTGGGCACCAGTTGGGATCCTTAGACTTCCAATCACCATTATATACATTCATAGGCTTTATCGAACCAACTAAGGATTGTTTATGGTCTTGGAAGTCTGGGGAGATGGTGTTTAGTGCCATCCGACTTGTCACTCCGTTCGTCATCCCATCTTGTCGCTCCTGGAGAAGGCGAGCTGAGCTGTTGCTGATCCGTCCATGACCCGTCGTCTCTGAGCGCGTCGCGTCTTCCAGGTTCATCGCCGGATCGAAGTGTCTCGACTCGACTCGTGCGGCGAACATCCCAAGACCGGCTGCGTCAGTCCCTCGAGACCGGCTGCGGCACCCTGGGGCACTCCCAGAGACCTGGGGTTCCTTTTTGGGGTCCGATGTGCGCCCGCGTGGCTCAGGTGCGTTCCATGTCCGTAGATAGGCAGGACAGAAAGAGCTAGGCAGCCAGGCTCGTCAGTCTGGACACCTCAAACTGGCAGGGCCTTCGAAGCTCCGAGCGTTGGTGAGGGTGACTGGTTTCTACCGTGGCTGGGGGCGGGACCCAAGACATGTCCTCTGGCTGACTGGGTGCGACCAAAGGTTCGAATCAGACTTTCTGGATCCGATGGAAGCTGTAGCGGGGCATTTCCTACATGTCGCACCAGTCAGGTGAGGGACCTAGAGGTTGTGTCCGCCAGGCACCATCCTCACGCCTCCTTTTTCCCAGTGAAAAAGACACTGAACTTTGGCGCATGAGCCCACACCTCAAACGCACCACGTCTTTTTCTGTTGAAGGCACTGATGTTGGGAAAGAACGACCCAAAAAGCCAATGAACCAACCAGTTGGCAGTTGGCCCGCCCTGGCCCGCCCTGGCCACGCCCTGGCCGGCCCTGATGGATACTGATGGATGCCTAGGCACTGACTTGGCCGTGGGCTGCATCTCCCTCCAGTCCTTGCGCCCATGAGCACCAATGAACGCGGCTCGTCAGTGGCGGTCCAGTCCTGGGGCCGGGTTTGCGACGGGCCACCTGCGCGGCAGGCGGCAGGTGGCGGGACTCGACGGCCTTTGGTTCTGATTGGAAATCCTAATTCTGTTTGTGTTGAACAACTAAAACCCACCAGCAATATGAGATACCTCCCAAAAATGGCATCTCCTCAATGTTCCTGGGCTCCTTCGTGGGGCTTTGGAGTGATGACGGTTCTTTCTTCATGAGGAGGAACTCGATTGTCGCCCTATCAGGGAGCAAGGGTTTCGGCCGGCGAGCTTCTGGGGCTCTATAAGACCTACAGGACCCCCTCTACTATAGTTCGTATACGAATATGTCCAATTGAACCAACTGCCGGTTGCCACTCGTGCTTCGCTTCCAACCCGCCACGCGGTGCGGCCGCCCTGCAAAGCCCATCCCCGCAACGGCGTGATGAGAGGATCCCAATCAGGTGGTTTCATTCGGTGCATTGTTCAGGACTGGAAAACGCCAAAGAGTCCGGGTGTTTCCACACCCTCGATTTGAGCCCCCCGTGATGGCTTCATTTGGCATCGGGTTTTTCGTGGCGACCAGGAGTCCCTACCACCGGAGAACTGCTCTTGGGGACGAACACCGAGCATCGCCGAACGCTGAGGCCTGTTTCACAGGCCAAGTCGAAAAGGAGCGAGCTAAACGAGCGGAATTCGCGATGGGCATGCGAGTGGAAGTCGCAGGGGGTGTTTCCAAAGCTTGACAGGGCCTGACGTCTTCTTTGCTTTTTGCGGTGTTGAACGGGTCTGGCCGCCCTGCAAGACCGAATGCCACCGGTGTGTTTCGGGGCGTCTCAAAGGATCGAAAGGATCAGAATTACCTTCAGCAGCCTCGGACCACACCGAAACGCAGGGGTCCGGACCCGAACTAAACCCTTTCCATTGGTTCGGGCCCGGAGTCTCAGTTGGTTCTTGGTTTAGTTTGGGTGAGACTCTTCCCCTCGGTTGGTCAGGAAGTGACCTCACAAGCTGCTAGAGTTGATCAGACACAAACACGACTTATGAGGCAACCTCAGGACGAGACGTCGCTTCGTTCGTTTCGCACTCGGGGAGCATTTGGGGGTTTTGACCAGGGCACGCCACGCGCCTTCAGTGCTTGCTTTGCTTGCCCGCCACGCTGCGCGATGCCTGAAAACAGCTTGGGCCCACCCAGGAACTATGTGGTTCCCATGTGCCAAATCCACCTGGCCATGGGTCAATTGGAGACACTCCACAGACAGGTCGAACCGGTAGAGTGCGTTCGGTTCACCCTTCAAACTGGGAGCCGAACCTTCCGGCTGGGGAGCGGCGTGGCTTCCGAGTCGTTCGACAGGATGAGAGGGATTCGGTTGGGTCCGTTTTGAACTGAGCTGATCGATCTTGCCGAAGGTTTGCACTGGAAAACTCCGAGTCCGAAGGTCAACATGTGGTCAGCATTTGGTGGTTGAGATTGCGGTATATATCTGAATTACTTATGTTCTTAACCAGCACCTTCCAAGAGGTCTCCTCTGGAGGCTCTTGTAGACTAAAAAAGTCGCAGGTGGTGACCTGTTGGAAGGTCCTGGAACTTCCTGGTTTGACTTGAAGCGTCAACGCGTTTTACCTTGGTCTTCGCACGCCATGGACGCCCCATGGACCGTCGTCAAATCCATGGGACCTTCGTTGCGGTCCTTGGCTGAGGTCATTCAGAATTGCTACCAGACCGGGGGGCATCTTGGCTGCGTAGCTGGAACTTCCGTTGGGGTGCGCGTTTCCAGCGACATGTGCACAGATCGCCGGTAGAGAAGGGCTTCAGACCGTCGTAGCTCCAACTCATGGTGTTTCGCTGGGGTATACGGGACCTCAGCGGACAAAGGTGCGGCTTCTGGCTTTGTTCCTCTTCGATGGGAAAATCTGTTTCTGAACTCTTATATCAAATGTCTGGCTGCCAGGTTCCTTCGGATCTCGGATCTGGTCGTCGCGACCCATGAGGTGTAGCTGGCAAGAGGGCGACTGGAGCAGCTGCAGCAGCAGCTGCGGTGCCGGTCTACGGCAGTGCCTGGGACGGCGATCGGCAGGAATGGAGAGTCTCTGGGATTCTTATGGGATGAATGAAATTGAGAAGTCTTCCTGCTGGCTTCGAGACCTCCGAAATGGAGTGTAGACTTTTTCAAGTCGCAGGTGGTTTTCCCGAACTTGGTTTCGGTCGTGGTTTCGGTCGCCCTCTGAACCGGCCTCCCCGCTGCACTGGATCAAGCTGGATCGATGTCCACCGTCCTAGGCGCTCGGTGCAGTGCTCCTCGGGCCACGCGGACGACTGCGTGAGCTCTGCACGCCCCACCGGCAGCGAGGCTAGACCGGCAGCGTGGCAGTCTGAGGAGTCACCGTGGAGCATGGACTTGAAGTATGTACAGTAGAGTGTTTTTGCTGGGCTTCCTGACGATTTCATCGCATCCTCTTTTAAAGTGTGTTAATAGCACCGTTGTTTTGCTAAGGATCTTCCTCTGTTAAAACCAGGTGAATGTTCAAAAAGGCTTGGAAGGCTAGGTTGTTTTTGTGAGATGAAGTGATTTTGGGTAGCAGGTACCTGGAAGGTGATGCAGGGGAACTACAAGGGGGTCCTGGTAGAGTTGTTGACGAAGATCCTTGCAAGTCAGTTCTGATCCCATGACATCTCATTCCCTCTTCCTTTGCACATCAATCTGTTCAGCTTTTCAACCGCAACTGGAATTCCTTTGCTTCACCCCAAAGCCTTCCCAAACTGCCATCCCCAAAAGCATGGAACGGCGGACACCGGGCACCAGGCCTGTTATGAGCAGAGCGGCTGCACCTGGCAGAGCTCCTCCTGGGGCGACTGCAGCGCCAGCTGCGGCTCTGGCTTGCGCACGCGGCAGGCGGAACGCGGGAAGGAAGGATAGGGTGGGTTTGGGGGAGAAGTGGGGAAGTTTTAGGACAAGTCGAAGTGCCTAGGAGAAAGCTAGCAAGAAGTAGAGATGTGAAGAACAAAGTAGAGGACAACTATAGTGGTGTCAGGTGGTGTTCTTTGCTGGGGCGAAGTGTTTCTCGTGTGCCACCCGTCGAGTTCACCATTCCAAAGACAGCAAGAGCACATCCGGCAGAATCAGCCAGGTCGGGGCCTATCCTTCCTGTGTTTCCTTGCCCGGTTCGTACACGTCATCTCCCTCGGTCGAAGCTGCTCATGTGCCCTTCCCACCGAAAACCCACCAAACCTTGGGATCCACGACCAGACGAAGGCCCGACTCGCATCGATTGGATCCCACCGACTCACAGCAGATGTGCCACGCTTTTTGCGTGCCAGGTCTGGTGTGACTCCTTGGTGGATTCAGATTGTCACAGCCACTTGGACGGCGATGATGGAACATCCCAGTGGAACCAGACCGCTTGACAATTGACATCTCTCTAAACTTTGAAGCTTTATAGGCTTTAGGTGCATGGCTGCCAGGCCTTCACTACCTCAACCAAAACGTCGCACTCAAAAACCACCAGACGCAGCAGATCCCTCAGCCACCCGTGTTCGGCGCGCGCCGCGTGTTCGGCGCGTCCCCGAGGTCGAACGATGCCCGCACGCTCCGAGACGTGCTATAGCACCAGCTCGTGTGGCTCAGACGCAGACTGGGGGCCGTACGGGGCTGAAGGAGTGGGAGTGGTCATGGATGCTGTTCTGTATAGTTGGATCACCCGAAATTCCCTTCTAGCCAATCTTCGGGAAGAGTTTTTGGGTTGAGATCCGCAAGCAGATTGAGATTCAAGTTGTGTCTGTGTCCGAGAGCTTGTCCGCAGCCGCCCGGTCGCTCTAGTACTTGGCGAACTCAGCCAGCTTTAGCTGCTCAGCGACCCTTTGAAGACTGAACCCCCGTTCGCCGGTCGCGCCCCTCTGTTGGACCAATTTTTCAGGACCTGGCTTTGAACTCAAAATCCGTCACTAAGACCATGGTTCTTCGGGCTTCCGACCCTCAAAACCATGGTGAATGGAGCCTCACGGAGGAGGGGGAAACCCATAAAACGTAATGAAAAACACCATGCAGGTCCTGCTTAGCTGTCCTTTCATCGATCCACTTGAAGCAGCACCTGGTGGCACCAGGCACGTGGCAGCTGGGGCGTTGGGAGGAGTGTTCCAGCGACTGTGGCACCGGCCTCGAGGCGCGGGGACAGTCGGGTTGCTTTGGCGCCGGAGGTTTTGAGCGGTGCTTGGGCGCCATCAGCCAGCCGAAGGGTGCTTTGAGCGTGAAAGCGGCCCAAAAGCTGGAAGAGTTGTTCGAAAACGATGACCGTTGGATGGAAGGTCGCGAAAGGCACGTACGTCTTTCCAATTGCGGAGACGGAACTCACACAGATGTGGGTCGAGTACCTTGGCAGGTGTCATATGTAGATCTCGAAACCAGCACCCGACTCTATGCCAATTGAGACCGTTTTAGAGGACCAACACCCCTCAAAAACCAGACCCTTTTTGCGTCGGGGGCTGGGAAGTCCAATTGGACTATACCAAAGTAAATGAAATCCCAAAATACAAGGTCATCTAAAGACCAACCTCATCGACTGGACGGCCCAGATGTATTGAACCCACATTCAAAGGAAAGCCTTGGCTGCTTAAGTTCAGTTCGACGAAAGCAATGCGTGGGCATGGAGTCCTGAGGGGGCAACCCTTGGATGGCCCTTTCCACCTGGGCTTGGATGCGATCTTTGGAATCGAGAAAAGACCTGTGACTCTGTTTCGTCACGAGTCGTCACCGGAAAAGGGAATCAACTCTGTCAGACTGACTGAAGGATGTCCCACTGACTGAAGAGATGTGAAAGGATGTCCTGGTCTTAAGAGAGTGAAAGGATGTCCCACTGACTGAAGTGGTTTGATCAAATCACCCCGGGAGATGTTTCACTCGATGTGGGATGTGTCTCAATCATCCATTTTTCTTGGGCGATCAGGTGTGTTTGGGGTTCTGGATCTCCAGGATCGCCTTCTACCAGGAGCGAACCCCAGTTCGGGAAAACCACCGTCGTGACAGGCTAGCAAGTCTACGGTCGGTCGCCACCATTTCACTTGGAGACCTCTGGGTGGTTTCGGTGCTGGTTGAGATCTGTTTGATTTCACTCGGTTTCACTCGGTGACGCTCTGCGTCTCGCCTCTGCGCTTCTCCAGGCTCGGAGCGTCACCTGCAGCGGGCCCCGTGGGGAGAGCGACTGCACCGAGGCGGCGCCGAACAGCAGCAGGCGCAAGCGGTCATCTTCGGACCCCCAGTCGGGGTGGTAGACATGGACACCCCTTGACCTCTAAGGACTCTAAGGGGCTATTAATGGACACCCGAAATCCGTGCTGCTCCATGTCTATCTTCGTCGTGAATTGTTTTTTGAGGCATCCGTCAGAGGAGTCTGGACACTGACACCCTGGTGAATAGAAGAAACATCCATCGCTGTCTGTCGCCTCAGGAGTTGCTTCAGCAACAGCAACTGCGCTTGGCAGATGCAACCCTGGGGCCCCTGCAACGTCTCGTGCGGCATCGGCTGGCAGGCGAGCCGGGCGACCGGCGAAAGTGGCGGGAATCCCTGACCCCCTCCGATGGCCTCTGGGGGTTGCTGCTAACTACGAAAAGCATCAGATCTGGAGTTTTTGCCCTTTTTGAGCGGTTTCAAGCAGAAACATGGCTGGAAGCTCATGGTTTGCTGCGATATCTCAAGTTGCTTGCTTGAAGCTGGGGAGGGAGCGTCATGGCTTTTTTGGTCGAAGCCAGGAACGTTGGCTGGACACCAAAGCCATACATTCTGTGAAAGATGCTCACCAACGTTCGTTTCAAAAAATGATACGAATATAATGCTTTAGTACATGAAAGATGTCAAGGATTCTTGCAAAAACTGAAGCTTTCCAATGCCGTTTCATGCCACGCTTGTGTGAGCGTGGATCTTCACTCTCCCACGGTCTAGACCGTTCGGCCCGTCCAGGAACGCATGATCCAGTGTCCTACGGGAAACGATGTGGATTGCCCCACCAAGCCCAGCACCTGGCAACGATGCTACACCCAGGCACGGTTGCCCCCGCTGCTTTCGGCGCACATGTCTCCCTCCCATGTGTTTCTGCAGTTGGATGCTGAACACAGATTTGACATTCCATGATGTTTGAGGAAAGGAGATGGCTGCTTCATCGGTGTAACTTGTATTAAATTACGAATATGCAATGCATTTATATGATTGTTTAACATCGGCTGATATTCTGAGAGCTTTAGGCAAGTCGATTCCCTGCGCTGTTCTGCGTCTCTCAGCTCGGGACAGTTGGTTGCCCATGTTTGTTCGGAACAACCATTGTGGTGTAGGATACACCTAGCAGGATATCCCAAGTTTGAAGAAAGCCCTTGGCTCTTTCAGCCGCTTTGAGTTCCGACCCCGGGACCCTCAGCCAGCTCGAAAGAAGGGGGTCCCGGGAGTTGCCAAGAAGAGCAGGTTGCATCAACCTCCACCGACCAAAAATGATCCCCAAACAGCTGCTTCACACCGTAAGAACCCCTAGGCCCTAAGTGTGTCCACACTGTTTGGGTGGGAAAAAAAACATGGAATGTGTCATCACCTCCCGATGTGTGGCTGTGGGGTTCGCCAAATCCGAGACCCCCCAAACCCCGCGCGCAACGAGCGCGAAGAATCCTCGTCTTCACCACGGTCTCACCGGATCTCAAGTGCAACGGACGAGATCAGACCACGGGGGGCCGAATGGTTTCGTGACGAAACATGGTTGGCACAGTGGATGGCACACAGCGCAGTTCATGCCAGACATGTTTTGAAGGCCGTTGGAGCGTCCCAGGATTCGTCTGCGGTTGCATGGAAGATCGCACCATGCTTCCACACCACCCCATGAGTCGTTGCTTCCGGTCAACGACTCGCCGCGGCCCCGACCGTCGCCGCGATGTTCACTCGTCCAGTCACGGGTCCGAGTGGACGTCCAGGAGGGCTGCCAATGGCTGGCCGGACCTTGGAGCGGCTGTAGCGGCACCTGCGAGCCCGGCACGCGTGCGAGGCCAGACGAGATGGGAGGTGAAGGTGAACATCTTCCAAGCTGGAGCAAGACCATAGATTGGTTTGGGAGGTTGTCCTATTTGACACAATATATAGTACAACAGAGTACAAGATAATTTGTAATATCCAAAGTTCGGGTCAATTGTTCAATTTTCCATGGCATCCATGCGACGTGGATAGCCTGCCAAGAACAAGCCCACTGTCGTAGAATCCACAAGCTTTTCATGGTGACAAGATCATACATGATCCAAGCAGAAGCAAGGCCTCGAACAATCCCAGTATGAGCCTTGATTGCCGTTGGACAAGCCAGGTATGGGGGTGCAGAAAGCTTTTAATTCCCAGTCGTCCAACCTTGAATCCAGGCCTGTTGATGCATGTGTTGAAATCTCATCAGGCTCCGCTCTTGGGTTACTAGAAGCTTCCTAGTAGCGCGATGGCCTCCACCGTGCGTAGCTTCTACCTCGTTCCTCGAAAGTCCTCGAGAACAAGCCCCTGGTCATTGGCTCCGTCCTCGCCCCACAAGAACGCCCTCGGCCTCCCAGCGGGGTGCCCGCGGGGGCCCGCTTCAAAGGCTTCAAAGGTGACCGTTGTTTTGGGGGGCGTCCCTGTGTTGTGTGACCTTACAGAGTAGTCTGAGTAGTCTAAACCTGATCTCAAACCTAATCAAGTTTGGTCACCAACGGAAGAACCAGGCGGTGAGACCACCAAGTGTTGCTGTGTTTATTCGGCATCAGGAACCTCACCTGCAGCAGCCATGAGGAGACCGATTGCGCCCAGGCCGGGTTCCCGGAGGGATCCGAGGGATCCGAGGGGCATCAGAGAACTGCCGAGAAGTGAACAGCTTCCGATGTTCGAAGCGTGCTTGCGCCATTCTTTCTCTATTCAAGAAGCTACTATTCCGATGGCCAAAAGAACCTAGAAGCAGTTTCGTTCTCTATTCTTTTTTACCTTGAGTGGCTTAACACTTTGCGATTGTCCTGTGGGAATATTGAAGTATTGCCCATCAAGATGCAAGACTGTGCTTCAGCCTAGCTTGAAACCATTTTAGGTGACCATTTGAAACCATTCACCGGAAGAAAAGCATGAAGTGGGAGGGTTCGAACGACCGGAACCCCATGGCCATTTCTTCCCGTGCACACTCGACCACACCCGGCACGCCCACACCGAGACGGTTCGGACGCGGGTGGAGCCGCGGCGTCCATCGGTCGGCCGAAATGGTCGCCGCCAGGTCCAACGCCCCTTGGATCAGGAGAGCTGCAACTTGGACGCCACAGGCGTCAGATCGGAGTGTGCGGAGACCGCGCGAACGCGGAGAGCGTTCGCGTTCGCGCATTGGTCCGTTTTGTCCGTGTTGGGTCGTGGAAAGGACGGCGGTTCAACGGCGGAAGGCTTGGAGTGCAAGAAGAGGTTCAATACAGCACCCTCCAACAGGTCTCCTTTGGAGGGTTGTTAGGCTCTAACAGGTGCCCTGTTGGAGGGTGCTGGTAGATTCCTGAACTTTCACAGCCCATGATATGGCTCAACTTGATATGGCAGCAGTGCCCCCTGTTGGGTTGTTTGGGCAGCAGGTCTATTGAATTGAAGATTCGGAAGCCACCAGATACCAACAGTCGATGACGGTATCACATCTTTATATACCGTCTGAATTCCAAAGAACTATGATTTTACTCTACAAAATACCAGGTCGACTTGGTATAGCTTGGTTTCCAACCTCGACTTCACTGTTTCTTCACTAAGCCACCCCCCCTCTTCTTATGCTGAGACCATGATGAAGACCGAAAGGCCATCGAAAATGCCTCGAACGCTTCGCAGGCTGCCAGTGGACCCTGGGCTCTTGGAGCTCCTGCAGCGCCAGCACCTGCGGCGCCCTGGGCACGCGCGTCCGCTCGGTGGAGTGTCCCTCCCGCAGCGGCGACAGTGGCTGCAGCTCGGTGTTGAACACGTGCTCCGTTCGTAGCGTCCGATCGCTCCTAGTAGCGATGACAGGAGCCCCGTTCGTAGCGATGGTTCGATCATAAAGAACAAGAACGATCTCCAGTCAAGCAGATATAGTGATCTCGGAGTGATCAAGTTCGTCGCTGTTTGGAGAGTTCATCGCAATATTCAGGTCACCTCTTAACCTCCAAGATCCAGCGAAATCATGAAAAAATAACCTCTCTTGACTAGTTTGTAGGAAGCAGTTCAAGAGCTGGAACGGTTTTATTCATGTTTTTGTTCGACTCTCCAAGACATCCTCGATGCTCAACTCGGGCTTCGGCTTCGACTCTCGACACGCCGGTCGACGTGGCTGAGGCCCAGTGCCCAAGCCCAGGAGTTTGGAGCCTTGTTTATCGGAGCAGACCTGTGAGTGGCAGCTGCTGTCAGAGCCACTTGGATCTTGTTTGAAAGGTACCTGGGTCATGTTCGCTTTGTTTGGAGGGATGTGCAGTTTCTTGAGCTTTCTTTGAGAGGGTGTTGTGTTTGGATTGGGAGATTTATGTTTCTTTTTTCGGAAACCAACGGCGCATCAGAGGTCAGAGTCTTTGTTCGGGGGAAAGAAGACTTCGTTCAGTGTCTTTTTCGAGAGTGGTGTGAGCACCGTGCACTGCACCACCGGGCCAGTCGACGGTGGTGTGAGCTGCGAAGCGGCACTCACCACTCAGCAAAATTGCAAAGCTTCGGCGGAAACGTCTCAAGCTCGGATCGTGGCAAGTCCTCCCTGTGAACTCGTAGTGAAGATTGGTGAACCAGCTCAGCAGATAGGACATGTGTAGCAGGACCTTCCAACAGGTCGCCACCTGCGACTTTTAAGTCTACAAAAGCCTCCAGAGGAGACCTCTTGGAAGGTGCTGGTAGCTGCATCCCTTGAAAAAGACGCATCAAAAACACTCCATGCTTTGTGCATCGCTATTAGCTTGGAGGCCATCGCCATCGGCTGGAGTGGCCCAGCCCAAGCACTCACCGATGGGAAGGTCCGGGGTTCGGCCCAGGTGGAGCGACTGCGACGCCAGCTGCGGCTGCTTGGTGCTTCCAAAAGCGTTTTCGTCGGGTGGATGGCTTCACCCTACAAAATCGAAGCGTTGCTTCTCTTTTTTCCCCAGAGAGCTGAAAGCAAAACAGGGGTTCGTTCTTGCGTCCACTGGGTGGTTGGTATTTGCGGTAGGTTCGAAATCCAAGGCTGGGGCTGGTCCACTCGTGTGGTCCAGTGCAGCGCGGGCGCCGACGAGGCCGGCGCCACGGGAGAACAACGGGAAAGTGGAGATAGCTTTTCTCGATGAAGTATGTTTTAGGGAAGAACTGCAGGAAACTCTCTGTTTTCACTCCAAAAGTTGATGGACTTTTAGAACAATTTATGGTATTTCCTGTAGATTTCCCCAAAAAAGAACAATTCTGTGACTTAGCAAGTCGCCCTAACGACTCCCAAAACTTGAGTCCAAGGGCCGTTAGGGTGGTGAATGGAGAGAAAGTCCTTAACCTCGACGGGGTTCATAGGTCCTTAGACAGCCCGTCGGAGGGGCTGGTTGAGGTGGACTTCCACTTCTCGAGGAGAATGATTCGATCCCTTGTGAAATAATTGATTGATCCCCTAAGATGTGATTCAGGAGGTCAGCTAACCTAATAGCAATGGCCTCCAGCCTAAGAGCAATGGCCTCCGACCTACAAGCGATGGCCTCCAACCTACTAGGGACGGCCTCCAACCTAATAGCTAACCTATCTATTGGAGGATGTAGATGGCTTTCGGGACACGTGTTGAGATATCCGGGCCTAGGCCTGGGCGTTTGGCATGGGAGTGTTTCTTTTGCGAGTAGAACTACTGGCAACTGAGAGTCAGTGGCTCTCCCCATTTGCTGAGTTTCTGGATGCAGAACGGAAGACCCGAAAGCATCTCATGAAAGAATGATAGATTCTATACCAGGACCTTCCAACAGGTCACCACCTGCGACTTGAAAAAGTCTACAATGTCGCCTCCATTTCGGAGACCTCTTGGTTTCAGTGCTGGTATGTATAGATTGTATGGTGTGAATCCGTCTTCATCCCCTTTGACCCGATTGGATGAGCCGGATGTGGAAGACCTGTGCAAAGACGTCCAACCGTCGTAGCCGAGTAGCCTCCTCCCAGCAGGACTGCCCTGGTGAGAAGCCCGAGAGTGAGAAAGCTTGTTACAGCCGGAGCCACAGGGGCTTGGTGAGTCGGTGATGCAAAGGTCGCAAAGCGGAATGACCCTTCATGTCCAGTTCGGCATGTGTTTGCACAAATGACAGGAAAAAATTGATCCAAGCCCACTCTGATCCACAGGTTGACTTGCTTTAAGTGGTCTAGTCACCAAGGCACCAGCGGCTGTCAGTGGTGGACCGGTCAATGGTCCGCCTGTGCCTGGGCAGAGAGTGCGACACGCGACCACGGTGGCGTGGACGGTGTGCGAAGAAGCGAACGGAACAGGAGGTCTTGGGTCGTTTGAATGTTGGAAAGCAATAGGCTTCTTGTTCTCTACTAGCTTCTTGTTACTACTAGTAAGGCACTTGTTACTAGAAGCGATGCAC